TGAAGCTTGGCAAGTTTGCTGGCAAGCACCGCACTGGTCTTGAGCTGGGATCATGATAACCTATAAAAAAACTATTTCTTTTAGAATCATCTATTGTTTTCTTTTTCCACAATTTGATCTCTGTTTGAGCTGTCTAGTCCGTTGGAATCTTGACCGTTTCTCCGTTTCCCCTCAGTGTTTCTCCCGCTACAGCTAGTCTGTTGATCTTTGATGGATCAAATTTCCGTGGTCTTGCGATCCCGGCGGTCGAGGAAACCGCAGACACAATGCGAAATACGACGACAACGCAACATTCCAGACCGATCAGCTCCAATTATAGAAGAGCTGTCCACATACCACACTATTCTAGGAATACCGTACCCCCAAGTGTACGAATTACTGTACCAACCTGGGGTGGTGATTGGCCGCATGCAGGGGCACAGCTGGCCTGACAGGTGCTCTGACATACTGGCGTAGAGCACGAGCTACTGCAGGACTGTTGACAGGATTGGCAAGAGTTCTGCTGTTGTTGTAGGACAATGACTGGCTGAAAATCAGAAATTTTTGTATAATTTATTTTGCACACTTTTGTTAAGCCTGTAGCAGCCATTAACGACCAAAACATGCATCCGCGTTTATTTTTCACATTATTTTTTCCGATTAATTATTCATTCTTGTGGTGGAAAAAACTGCACTAACTTTTTTGTAAGATAACGGTACAAGTTTCTGTTCCTGTTAGCTACATTATCTGTCCCATTTCTAGCCTTTTCTTTCAAAATAATTCTAAATTTTATAGATTTCCCACCTTATCGAAGAATGAGAAGTCAAATGTATAACATCATTGATGGAGCTTTTGAAATATTTTATAATCCTATTAGATAATAGGTCTTCAGATACTAACTAAAGGTTGATCTTGTGCACTTGAATAAAATATCTTTGCTTCCCTTCTAGCGCTTACTAAGGATAATTTAAAATTTGAGAATGCTATTAGTCGATTTTGGTCACATTTATGGAATTTGCAGTGAACTGATCCTCTCTCTTTTCGTAATTTTTTTCTGTACTATTTATCTGTAGAAGTAGTTTAGAGACTTTCTAATCGAGAACTTTTAACATTTCCGTCATCATCGTGAAAAAATGTGGGGAAAGTTAGGTTTGATCAAATCACCGTATTCACAAAGA